AGTATGCAATAAAGTTAGAGGAAACTCATGTGTGGCTCAACTGTAGTCCATTATTGGATCCGAACAAGAACATGGTGGAAGTACCGACGCGGTTGCAACAGGGTAATATGTGTCAAGTTATATTTTACTACCACGGTGCTGGGCCGATGACAAGGTGTGGGGTCCACCTATTAGGCCACCAGGTTGGTGATGTCAGTGAGGCTGAGGTCGTGGTAGTTGACGTTGATATCCATCGTCACTACCAAGGTGAATTGGTTTCCTTGTCTTTAGCATCAACGAGTGGTGTTGGGAAGAGGCCTCGTGGATCAGATACCATCGCAGTTGATAATCATGGTCCTAACGTCGTCGTCTTGGATCATGATCACGAAGAGCAATATCTTACCTTGTTTTCAGAACCAGCATATCATCCAAAGCGGAGGCATATTGATATTGATGAGGAGCAAAGTATGTAAATCCATTAAATGTTGAATGATATCTTCGCATTTTAATATATGGTCGTATATGTTTGCTGATGTCAAAGATGACTGCATTTTGATCTTGTTGTAGATTCACCTATTGATGTGAATGGAGCTCGTTTAATCAAGGGAATTGATGATGTTGCGGAAGAAATGTACTTGATGAAGGATTATTTTGGTCAAAGCAATAACAGATTGTGGCTTGATCCATTTAAACACAAGAGAAGATGAAAAAAAGAGCAAACTGAGTTGTGAGAGATTGGAGGTCGAAATTTAAGTCCACACACTGTAAATAACTTGTCAGGGCAGTTATAGCAAGAGAAAAAAAAATGCTTTGAAGACCAATAAATTCAAATCAATGAGCTCCAAACTTATATCAATATTCAACGATTAATGAATCTTATAAATTAAACCCACCAAATATCCAGAAAATAAAAAACTATCAATCCATCACAGTCTCAACCACCTTGACAGCCTTAATTTAATAGAAAAATCATCTACCTCAACCCCCAATTCAATTCAGAAGCCCTAATTCGACAATCCTAATTTAACAGAAAAAACCCTAAATTCAAAGGAAAGGATGCTTACCTTAAACTGATATGAGAGAGGAATCGAGGAGAGGATATGACGTCGCTGATGCTGTCTCGGAGCTCGTTTAATCAAGGGAATTGATGATGTTGCGGAAGAAATGTACTTGATGAAGGATTATTTTGGTCAAAGCAATAACAGATTGTGGCTTGATCCATTTAAACACAAGAGAAGATGAACATAGTCCCTAGTTCTCCTGCCCTACTACATATGCAAAATCATGTCTTCATAAATCAAATCGGCCTGCAAATAATGAAGCTAGGAGGAGACATAATGCACCAGGCGAGGTTTACAGTTGGAACTTCTTACACTTGGTCATTGCCATATACCTACAAATACAAGCAATAGCGCTGGGTCTTGCTTTTTAGGTCAAGGGTAATCTACTGGATCTGATTGTCTAATGAGCTTGCCTCCTTTGTTTTGAGATGCAATGTTTTAATGGGTACCTATACCTAAATTTTCTGAAGTATAATATCTTGCATATTTATTGTTTTCGAACACTTCTCTTCAAATTTTTTTTTGGGTCAAGAGAACTCCTTTCTATAGTTTCGGAAGGAATTTTGTTCTTTGAATGGTACCATCGTATCATGCATGCTTTGCGTTACTAACATAGTGGTTCAGATTTTCGCATACAGTATCTCTTATGTTATGTATGTGGTAGGCCTTGATTAAGAATGATGCTATATAAGATAAGGGTCCTGGGTATAGTAATAGTCAGTAGGTGCAGGGGTATCAAGGGAGCAGCAAAGAACAATAACCAGTGATAAGAGTCGGCCTCGGAAAACGAACCTTGTTATTGATGTGGAAAACCTGGTCACGGGTCTAATAATGATTAATCTAACAGAAAACACGTTAACTTGGCAGAGGAGGAAGAGGATAATGATGAATGTGGTGATGATGATGATTATGATGGAGCTGATAATTTCGCCTATGAGAAAGGCGACGAGGTTATTAACTTCTTGTTGTAGTGAGTTCTACTAATACCAAGACAAGAGAAAGGGTAGTGGCATAAGATTTTTTCGATCTTTATTTTAGGCCCCATTAATTTACTAATTAAATGAGGATTTAATCAACATAATTAATGTGACATAGGGCAAGCTTGACCTTTATTTTGATTTCCACATGGCACCATTGGAGTGGTCAAGAAATTATTTGCTCCCACAAATGGTTCCCAGCTTCTACATGTCTTGTGTGGTGGCATGTGGGAAATGAAAAAATTGGACCTATGTATTCTTTGAATCCCAATTGTTGTTGGACTCCTTATAAAGAAAGGATCTTTGAATTCCTTCTTGATGTTGGACTCCTTATAAAGAAAGGATCTTTGAACTCCTTCTTGCTCAAGAATTCCCAAGGGATAAAAACCCTAATTCTTGTGCTGCATCCCTATTTAATTTTCTCCTCTCTTTGACTTATGGCAAAGACAAGAGGCAGAGAAGAGAGGCTCCACGTATTGAGGAGAGAAAGAGAGAGAGAGGAAACCAACTGCACCACTTCCTTGGTAAGCCGCAACGTAATTGGTTTTATTTTAGGCTTATTTACTGTAGTACCCCCTGAAACTTTGGTCAAATCTCACTTTACCCCCCGAAAGTTAAAACGGCCCACTTAACCCCCTTGACCAAGGTTTGGTGTTCTAGTTTGCCCCTACCGTTATCTCCATTAATAACTCGTCAATTTTGATGACGTGGCATGACTATTTTAGTCTTTTTACCACAAGTGATGATGTGTCAGATGTATTGACAGGACCCACCCCGAATTCCTCGAAACTCGAGACGAATCCTGTGTAAATTCCGACATTACACCGATGCCGGGCCCACTAACCAAAGATTTAGCCTATTTTCCAAATTAAGGGAAAAGAGCACGAGACTTTCTACCGAAATTTCGGCAGAGTCTCCCCTATAAATTGAACATTCCCCAAAAATTCCAACCTGCATAAAACACATTTAACAATACCAACCGGCAGCATGCACAATATAATCTCATGCAAAACACATAATAGGCCTCTGGCCTTCAGATAGTTCGAAACAGAACCAATAATGTTCTCAAGTCAATTAATACATAAACCATACCATTTATGATCTCATACAATCATACGATTACTCCCAAAATCATTAAGCCGGATTCAAGTCCCACAACCACAATAAAATCCATTCATAAATTCAGAACCGTTCAAACCTTTCACACGCAATATAATTCACGGCTGCACCTAGGTGAGACCCCAGGCTGCCTACGTACCCTTGAACAAGGGATCAAGCCACACGTAGTTCTCATCATCAACGGTCACAACTCCGGTAATAAACCAATATTTACAACATAACCAACTATACATTCAAGATCTATCACAATTCCAAATCCGACAAAACACATTGAAACATTATTAATTTCTTTCCAAGTCATCGTATTAAGAAGACATCCGAAGGGCCTGGACAAACTCCGACGGGCCTGGGCAAAATAAATCAATCTCCGAAGGGCCTGGGCAAACTCCGACGGGCCTGGGCAAAATAAATCAATCTCCGAGGGGCCTGGACAAACTCCGACGGGCCTGGACAAAATAATATAATCTCCGAAGGGCCTGGGCAAACTCCGACGGGCCTGGGCAAAATAAATCAATCTCAAACATAGAACCCACAACCGGTGAGGTACCTAAGGTAGTGCTAATAACACTCAAATTAACATTCTAAGTACCCCATACAAAATCAACAAAGATAGCACTTTCTCAATTATTGTAAATCTACACTCAAGATATTCAAATGTATCCAAACCCAAATATACAACACAAATACTTCGTAAGATATCAAATCCATTAATAAAAAATATAATATATTTCAAAATGAATCATTAAAACAATATACATAAACTTTCCACACTTGGTCAACTGGGCCCGCGGGGCCCACGACCTCCGTTTTACGATCCAAATGTTCCCATGGATTCCTCAAGATTTAGGAAACATGTCCTACAAGTATGGTTCAGATTAGACGGTCGGATCGCTCACGATCGGACGGTTATCGTAAAACACAAACTTAAGTTATTGAATCGGAACATCCGGGGCTCCGATTCACGATCCGTCGAATCCTACACGATCCTAGGAATACCTAGATCAACATATATTAATTTGGAAGTGATCCAATGGTTCTAACATATCGAACCCGGATAACACTCGATAGGTAAAATCCGTTCGGGGTTCAAACGTTATCCGAATTGAGATCCGCAAATTCCTACGCGCTCGTGACAACTAGGAGATGTCTCTCTGCTGGCCCATGCGCCGCCACACGCGCCGGCAGCGCGTGGGTGTCCAAAGCGATAACCACTCGCCGGAAAAAACTTAACATCTTGACTCCAAACTCCTATCCTAGGTAATACACCTAATTTGGAGTCACTTTTGTTCTTGGGCATACCCAAAAAGTGACCGGAAGTGGCTGAAAACAGAGGCCGAAACTGGCGGATTTTTCTATCGCTTATTTAACTACCAAAACGCAGAAATTTCTCAAACCTAACACAACCAGCAGCTAGAATAGCTTGAGAGGTTCAAGATCCATACCTGGATCGCAAGATTTGGTGACCGGAAGTGGGAGAACGAGCGGCCGAAAGTTTCCGAAAAATCTGTCAAAA